AGTCAGAAGAACACGGACTGCAGGAAAGCAGTTTTGACGAATCAGTGGTCTGGCGTTTGCAAGTTAGACTCCTAAAAACACCTTTGCTCATGTGCAAACAAGTGCGCACAACCGCGGATGATTTCATTTCCCACTCAAGTCGAGTCTGGGGCGTGCGATACAGCATCGTCTGCGATAATATGGTAAGTGTTGTTGTAATGATGTGCGATCTGACATTATCAAGTAGGCTATATCACCAAATCACACACAGAGTGCACGCATGTTGATTTATTAGTCTATTAAAACTCAAAATTCCAGGCATTCTAAATTGTAGACGGCAAAAATGCTTCTATATGCTTTTTATATGTATATAATTTAATATCGTTAACTTGATCTATATCACACAAAGAGTACCGTTTTTCTGCAGATATCAGCATGAACATATTTAATAATCATTTTATAAGTTCAGTAAAGCAATAAGTGATTTACATTTTAGACATAATAGTGCTTGTTTTTGCACAATTTTGCCAACGAAAATAGTTCCAAACAAAAATCACAGCACTGTTTTGCATCTCTGAGCAAAGGACCTGTTTACTTATTGAATGAATCAGCTTTTTTAACGAATCGGTTGAATAAATGATTCAGTGATTCACTCATTAACACAGTCAAATGCTTTGTTTCTGAATGAATGAATCGGTTGAATCTCAATGACTCCCTCATTACCAGTCACTTGCTGCCACCTACTGGCGGTTTTAATTTCACATTTCGACTTTTTTTTAATGTTTTAAAATCATTTCAAATAACAGTATTCAACGTTTTATGTTAAAAACAAAACATTATTTATGCATCTGTAACTGCAGGTTAAATGCATCCATGTCCCCTCTGAGATAGGCCTACATTAAACTGTGTGTAAATACATCTAAATGCTATTTCAGATGCAGATTCCAGAAATGTTTTCTTATGTTGGAATGAAAGCCACTAAGTACAGGATGAAGTGCTACTTATTCTTACCCAAAAATGCAAAATGGAAGAAAGAGTTAAAACTGAACCCAATCTTGCTACTCGAGCTATGTATGAACATTATATATATATATATTATTTATTTGCTTCTTTTCCATTTTGCATTTACTTGTACTTTTACTTTCAATACTTAAGTACGTTTAAGATTTTAAAAAATACTTTTCGTACTTAAGTACAATAAATATCACATACTTTAAGACTTTTACTCAAGTAATATTCTAAACGGTGACTTCAACTTCTCCCAAAGTCATTTTCTGGTAAGATATCTGTACTTTTACTTGAGTATGGCTTTCAGGTACTTTTTTGATATTTTACTTTAGAAACAAGACAAATACTCATTAAGAATAGGATTTTTTGCAGTGTAGGATGTATTAACATCAACTGTGAAAAATATTTACTCTGTAATATTTACTTTCCAAAAATCCCTGGAATATTCCAAAAAAATCCTGGAAAGTTTCCAAAATTTCTGGAATGTTTCCCAAATTTACTGGAAATTTTCCACCTTTTTGCAACCCTATCTGTATCACTCAGAGTGTCCCGTCTTGCAATTTCCCACCATTTTTATACTTACCTTTTAAAATCTGATGGGTCCCATGGCCTTATGGGATACCAACCGAGTCTACTTGTAAAAAAATATATATATATATCCTATTCTTAGTGAGTATTTTTGTCTAAATTATAGTTATGCTGCTGTTTGCAAACTCTGTAGTAAGGAAATGTGAACATATTCAGTTTTTTTTTCCTTAGTGTTGTGTATGTTAAAAATCCCCAGAACTTCCTCAACACGTGCGTTTAGATGGATTCATAAAATTCAATGGCTTTCTGAGAACCTGCTTCCTTATCTTATTTAATGTGATAAAACACATGTTGAGTTCTGCTTTGAAGATTAAAATAGTACGTTTATTGTGTTTTACAGCATGGTACAGCTTCAATGTGGCAGTACCTGGGAGATATTTGCAGCTGTTTTTATTTTCCCTCCCTTCCATACTTTCCTCCTAGTACAAAAAGCTATATATTGTGCTTATAAAAAACAGCCTACAGAAATGCAGCATCAAGTTGACTGTAAACAGGGGGTCAGTTTAATTTCAGTTCACTTCCCTCCTACCAACCCGAATCCAGCGCACTCATCGCTACTTACCATCTCCCAAGGGATGAAGATACAGGGTCACCGTCAGTTCCCTGGCAATACTTCCCTGTAATCCACACCAGAGTGCCAACATTAGAAACAGATACCTCACTTGAAAGCTGCTTATTTTTATTTTTTTTCCAGTCAACTCTTTCATTTACCTATAGCCGTGTTTGGGTTTCACAAGCCAGATTGGGCTGTTTTGTGTAGACTAAAACCTGGTTCACACAGAAGCTTGCTCTGTTGGGTTGCCTCGCGTAGGCTGAGGGTGGGTTAGGTTAGGCTAGGTGTATGACCACACAGCCACCCCAAGAGAAATCAAA